CGGAAACTACATTGAGAGCGGTGAATGGCAACTTCGCGAAATACCGATTATCAAACACGTTGTCTATTATAATGCTGCCCTGAACCTTACCCGGATGTAACGTATACATTAATCATCCGAAGACGACCTGGCTTCTATATGTACACATTGGTTGTACCGGTTATTTTCTTATTCGTACTGATTCTATCTGGATTTTATCTGCCTTCTAACTGTGGCGAGCGAATAAAAGTATTAGGAACTGGTATGCTGGCATTAATGGTGTATATTACGTTAGTGAGTTCTCACTTACCGTCTTCACAGAATGCCCCTTTTTTACGTAAGTGCACCAAAGCTACTTGTATTGCTTGAAGCATTTAACTTCATGATTTTTTATGTCTTTTTATGTAATATCTTTAAAGGTGTTGGTCCAAATGAACATAACTACTAACTGGCAACTAGTCGTGATAACAATGTTCGGATAAAAACTAAATTATGAATAGTATGAACCTAGGGCTCAACAAATTTGTTGGGCTGCACAACCAAAAGCTGTAGTGAAGATTCATCACATTACCTCAACAAACGATTAATGTATAATTCATAAGCATAATTACTAAAGAGATCGCATATTGTCAAACAATCCGTTGGAGAATGCTTGACAAAACACCTATGCGCCGACAGACGAAGAGCAAACTGACAAGATGGCATGAACGTATTGTCTAATTTGAAGAATGAAAATTGCTAATGAGTGCTAGTCATCAGTATTATATATATAATCTATTCTTACTAGGACAAACGTATTACCAAAATCATAGCAATACAGAATTCGTGAAAGTGTCGCAAATAACTCGTGTGCCTAATATCTTAATATTATAAAACAACGAATATATTTATTTTGAAGCTTATTATTTAATTATGTCAATTAGAAACACATTGACAAAAGTGAATGCAGTTAGTAAATATGTAATTAAACATATGTGCATATAAGTTTGACTTTCTAATAGCACATGTTGTCTTCACCACAGTTTGGTTAATTTGTGTAAGCATCCATACTCACGAACGACCGGAAATTGTTAATAAAATGTGCAGGATTTTTACTAGGTAAATATCTTATAATGTCGTGATGCAACATTGGAAACTCTGCCTAAAGAGACCGCGCGCAAAAATAAAATAATAATTTGCTTTAGCGATGTTAACTACAGCACACGCCGCTGAAGAGTACATGAATGCAAATTAACTGTTTTATAGAAAAAATATTTGGTTGTCAATAGACTTCAAAAATAACATTAGCATCGGATTTAACTGAAGAACTGTCTTCTAAACAGACGAGTTTTCGGACTTTTGTTTTTAAAATATTCATACTGATTGACTGACGATTGAAGAGTGGAAGCTCATTTCACAAAAAGAAGACATAATTGCTAAAACAACGCCAACCATATTTTGTGATACATTTTGAATCTTGTGTTTTCAATAACAAACGATCTGTGTTAGATGACGTGAAGCCACTGTGACCCGGTATTTAGTATGAATGTATATTGATTTGAAATAATATGAAAATGTTTGATTTACAGCGAGCAAAATATTAAGAAAACACGTTCGCCAATCAATTGAAATTGAAAAGTAAAAACATAACATTTCCGAAGCTTGTTTATTTGAGCAAGAAATATATTGTAAGTTTTTTTGTTTTGTTTTTTGTCACCAGAAAGATATATATTATCCATGATTTCATTTGTGGCAATATCGTCAGTACTGACAGGATATACTATGAATTTACACTTCCAATCAACTGAATGCGAAAGAGTACCGGACTGGCTGCGAAGACTTGTATTCAATCACCTATCTAAAATTGTATTCCTGGGTCCAACAGCAAGTACATATATGAATCGAAACTCGTACAAGCGCCAAAATATATCTTGCGATGTCAAATCAGAAGATTATGACCTTCTCGCTAGACTGATTACACACGATGATGGGGAGGAGGAAAAGGCTCAAGAGGACCATGGTGAATCGAATGATCCGACAGAATATGAAGCACGCACACTGGAATGGAAAATGGTCGCTCAAGTACTTGATAGACTGTTTCTCGTATGTTTCATAGTTGTATATCTCTGTCTTACGGTAGGGATATTCATGTATCTGTCCGGGCGAAATCAATCCCATGCGTTTCATTAATGCATCAACAAAGCTGAATTACGTTTCCCGGATTTAACGAGAAAATTTACCTTACAATCAGCTATATATTACGCTTCATAAAATATAGTGAATGATTAACATTTTTATTTATTTCTCGGGGAAATTAATATAGTATATTTCTAGTAAATATTACAATTCAGTCTGGCTGTCAACTGACGTCACAATATTTCAAGTTCTTTATTTCGATTTATGCTTATTTAGTTACAAAATGAAACACTCAATATATGTTGTATTGTATATTATAATATTTTGCATGCTTTACCTATAACATGGATTATATTTGCACTTGAAGACCATAATACACTGTACATGACATAGCATAGTTATATTTGTAGATATCGTCTCGTACCTGATTAAAGAATTTAATTTTCAGCGGCACAATGAAAGACAATTATACGCAGATGTTTAGCATGTTTTGTCTGATGCAAAGATATTTTAAAATGTTAAGGTATATGCAAAGCGGCGTGGACAACCGCCTCGCTATTATAATGGTTCAATTATTTGACGGATAGAGATTTAATTATTTCGACTTCACTAAAATTACCCGAAAGAGTGCAAAAATCATGATTTCGATCGCCCTGCACTGTTTACTATAAATAAGGTTTGCAAAACTGTAATCAGTCTAGTATAACCACTCTTACTATACGTATCTTGACAAGTAACACTAATATAATGGTTTTGCAAATCAGCCAAAGTTCAAAAGCATATTTTTATGATTACCTGACATGTCTGGTCAATTGTACTATAGAAGAGATCAGGACGTGCTTGCCTAGAATACAACGTTGTGTATAGATGATTTTTTTTACCACTGTGATACAGGGTGTTAATCTGATGTGTTGATAGAATGCGCTTTGTAGAAGTTTAGATTCATATAATGAAGTTGTTTTGTTATAAGAATACATATTATTACCAGTAAGTAGAAGTACATGTTGAGCTTTGTATTTTGAATACCTTATAGTGTTTTTGTGCTATAGTAGCAACGTGTCAAATAGGTCAATAGGTCCCAACTAATCAATTATGTAGAACAAAAGTTACAACAAACCTGAACAAGTTTTACTAGAGAAAAACACCAGAGACAGTAAGAAACTACGTCTGAAGTGAACACAAAATATGGAAGTTTAATTTTGATTTTTGCTTACGAACTGAAGAAACGTAGAAAACAATGACCATTGACAAACATAAACATTCATGTTCGTTCAAGCTGCTCACGAAATTGTAAATATTAACAGTGTATTGCCAGAACTGTCCGAATAAATACATAATTGTAACGTTCCGTGCACTACAAGCCTGCATATAAACTGGAGCTCGACATGAATTCTGTTAGCATTTATATCTGACCTGTTTACCGTAAAGCCAGGAAGTCGTCACCTGCGCGTGCGTCAGATGGTCACAGCGTGTCATTGTTTACAAACAAGCGTCTACCCATGAGACTTTGCGTGTTTAGCGTGCGTTGCTATCGTCGCTTGGGACTCAATTCCTGCACGTGCGCAAGTGACGATCCCCCCGCTTTAAATTTACGCCGGCTATTACGCGTTATTTGTGCCCGTCATTACAGACCTGTTAGTAGTTGCGTAAAAATAAACGAATCTCTGCATTTCCGATTCGATACTATGATCTATTATATTTGTTATATTTATTACCTGTGACACTATAACGCTGTAACTAATTGTGTTTTGTATTAACAACGTCACATGGTCGGGTCATTTCACCATCTGCGCAATTATAATTCTATGCACCAACATGATGCATGTAAATTAGGTATGGTTTTGTCTGTCGCTCTCAATAATAGTATACATGCAGTGCACTGTCACTGGAGTGCCTGTGATAAAATACATTATTTTTTTTACCACTATACAAATTACAAAAAAAATGCTCATCTATACGCAGTAGAATTTATTAGTGTCGAATTTGTTGTGTTGTGCCTCAAACTATTGGCGTAGAGATAAAGGTAGACATACGAATATGTAGACATTTTGTTATATAACTCAAGACAACGACAGTCAGTTTCGCGCATTGCACGTAGACAGATTCCTGCGTCTATCTGCTGACACATAAGTCTACCTCCATCCGGATACTTTCCTTCCGAATTTACCTGATTTAGGCCAATATCTTGTCAAGGAAACACGATACGCAGCAATATTCATGAAATACCAGGTTTGCCGTGTTTGCTTTCACCATTTGACTATTTTATTGGAGGGAAAACCGCTAGCATTTTGGAGCGACTCGATTTCACGCCCATCTACGTTCATCAGCACCCTTTGAGACTTTCGATCTGCGGTTTCGCAATTCGTCTCTTATGAATCTGATAGTCGAGGACTATCACGTGAGACGGCAACAGTGTGTTTGATTTTGTTACGTATTGAGTGTGTGTGTGTCTACATAGTAAGTATCGTGTATTTACTGAAAGAGAATGGTGTTGACATAGGCCTATACTCAAGCGGTGGGCAGCTTCGTGTGAACGGGAACGCCGTTTGGCATATAGCAGCGCCCACAGGAGTGAACAGAGTGGCGCCGGGTGTGTTTGTAAAAAGTAATTCTTCGTCAGGCTGAAGCGGCTGAAACTAGGTTTGTACAACCATGTAAGTAAAATATGCGCCCATGGTAAAACTCAATAATATTCAATCACTGCTCTTGAGCTTTTCAATTCGTATATTTGCATGCATACATGCGTTCAGTTCTACGATGTTGCCCTGGAAGTTTGCCATGACTGATTTTGTTTTTAAACTGATTCGTTATAATATTACAAATGTTCAACCCAACTGCGGTAATCATTTGTATATTGTCTACCTGTAATGTGGTTGGCTGTAATGGTCATGAGATATAACAATAAATTATAATGTGAAACATTTAAGATTCATGTTAAAAAGCATATGCTGTACATTTTTCCGTTGATCATTTCTATCTACTAACCGTTTTCTATATTTAGCATATGTTGGGTTTGATTCTCGCACGTGCATAATATTGACATCGTCGCAGCTAGCAAGTCGAATTCGTCCCAGTCTATTGATGAAATATTCCGTGTGGCCGACCCGTTCGTATTCTGGGTCGAACACCCCTCTACGGAATGCTTCTGTTCGAGCCATGAAGAACATAGTAATAGAATCGGCCATATAACAGTTGGGGTATTCTGATAGCTGATCATACTTTTCCGTGGTATGTCTAATGAAGCAGTCGCCATCTTTGTCACCTTTAACCCAGGATATAGTACGGCAACCGAAGCAAGATTCTTTAGGTTCGCCTTTCTCATCCCCAAATGTGCCGCCAATCACGTCTAACTTCACTTTCGGATTCTCAAATTTTTCAAGGAATATCTCCAACTTGGTCCCAATTGTGAATACAAAGTCGTCGTCGCAATACAAAAAATATTTAGTACGCACCTGGCTGAGTTGCAAGTTTCGACCTGCGGAAGCGCCCTCGGCGTGAGGCATGATATAATGTTTGACATTTGAACCAACAATCTTTTGTGGATTTTCAGAATCATCAGCAACAATTATAGTCATATTCGGATAAAATTGATGAACACTTTTTACGAGTCTTTTCACAGCATCATAACGTTCAAATGTTTTAACGACTACGGTCACTTTTTTGGTGATATCACCTGAACCGGGGTCAATCAAAAAAGGCACTGTTTGTCTTTTAATCCGAATATTTATAGACACATTCATGCCATTGAGCTGAAGATTGATTGTATCGCGGTCATCGATATCGTAAACAATACTGGTATAATAAATACTGTGTAAGGCGTCATCGATTGAAGTGATATCTGCCTTCCCGCGAATTATAAGTGAGGTTGTATAGTTTCCAACAGTATCGAAATCTGCTGTATGTACATGTATTACACCAATCAACCTGTCAGACGACAGTTTCATCACAAAATCATGCTTACTCTCCAAGTGTGCAACCGCACTAGGATGTATAGATAGTCCAATCACACGCACCGTACCTAACGGTTCTAGAGTAATCCCACCACCCACATACTGGAAAGGTGACATTGCACGGCATACTGATAACGGCTCGATCTCGGCGTTGTGATAACGTTTCCACTCCAACACCTCTTTCTGTCGCCGTATGTTAGGACCGTCTTCCAGGGGACCATATGATTTGTGCCCACATGTGCACGGTGTAGGTTGTGGAGACACAAATTTTTCAACTGCCAGCAAACGTTCCGAGACTGCATTATTCGCAATCCTGTAACTGGTGTTTTGTGGTGCATGGAACATAAACACAGCAGCTGAAATGACACACAACAATGCAATACAAGCAATAATCAGTTTCACATTGTACATTTTGTGAAACGCTGTTTTTAACGATGCACCCATTTTTATAAACGAAATGGTTAGCCACATTTCTTCCGTGGTCTCGCTCAAACGACAGTTTAAGTAATGCGCAATGTAGCCAGCAAATCACATTATGCGGAATAAACCATTATTTTATCTTATATTGTAGAGTGAACATGTTGAGATAATGTGCATTTCAATGTTAATTTTATATATATATATGGCAACAAGGCGACCTGATGTATTCGATGTTCTGCAATATATCAAGAACCTGTTCTGTTATATTTCATCTGAGGACAATGCACGATTATTGTACCCTCTCTACATATGGAATGTGCCCCTGAGGGCGGCTGTGACAACAAATTAAAATGCATGGCAAGTTATCAACTTGCTCCATGTATAACATTTTAAAATATTTATCATATGTGTGCACATTTTCAATATTACACTATATTTGTATATTCGCTTAGCAAAAATGCTACTTGATGAGATAATATTTGAGCATTGTGTCAGTCACGCGCAGTATAATATACAATTGCTGAATGCGTTCCAAAATTAGCCGATCATGTGTAACTTACTCAGTCACTCGAACAGCCGGCAGATTAAGTGTGTCCATTGTAGCACGTGCTGATTCGCATATTGTAATTAAATGTGTCACTAGCCAAACGCGTCAGGCTGCACGTAGACGACGACCACCCGGTAAAACAGCTACGCTAGTCGAGTGAATGTATATATAATTAAGAGGGTTCGATTATGAACTCGTTTCCTTGGTCTGTTTTTTAATTACAGGCCAAGCAAACAAGCTCATTGATGACGTCGCATTACTAAACAAGATTCATGTTTTGCTGAGAAGGGTGTAAACATGTTTAGTATATATATATATACTATGTGAGGATGGTTTGATAACAATGCACATGCTTTTTACCATATAGAGATCAATAGGATCACTTGCCTGAAATTCTAACCGATGTTAGCAATCGCGCCATCTACGTTATTATATGAAATGGTAATGTGAGCGAAATACAGTAACACACTATTTTTGAGGAAGGTCGACTTTAAATTTCGCTTTCTGTTGCTGCCAGTTTTCACCAGGTCATTGCGGATTATTGTATCCAAAACTAATTGACAGTAGTTATGTGCTCGAGCAATCCTGGGATCGCACATTAAACTGAAGTTGATTGTACATATTGTATTGCGTTCTCAGGTAAAATCACACAGTTATACGTGCCATATTCTAGTTTTAATACAAAACAAAATTTGCTGTACTGAACTACGGTGACGTGGTGACGGCCAAACTCCTTGTGTGATCTAATTAGTTGTCTGAGGTGTAACTATAAAAAAAAGGTCTGAAAACATGAACACATATTTACATCTACGCAGAGGTTCTATTTATTTTTTCATTACGTCACGGGTTCTAGAATAATCAATATCTATTGTTCAATGAACACGTTTGCATTATATCAACAATTAAATTCCAGCAATACGTTGTTATTATTGGATGATAGCGTTTTTTCATAAATTAATGAGATTAACATGTTCAAACCCACTCATATTCTGATAAATGTAATCTCAATCATAATATTATTCTTTGAGTCGTTACTTCCACTAGAAACTACCTGATTCCAAACATCTAAATAATCGGTTAATGTGTACATGTTCAGTGTGCAACTATTTTTGAGTGCC